ATACACACATACATACATATACACACATGATGTATGCAAAATATTAAATAATACATATATATATACACACACAAACATACTTGTATATACATATATATATATATATGCACATATGTATACACACACAATCACCTACACACACACACATATATATATATACACATGTAAACACCGACAAACATCTCAACCGGAGCCCTATAGCCGGCGCAGACCCACCTTGCTTGTCTTCGCCCTGTCAACGGCCTACAACAAACCAACACTGAACCAAGAAGTCATCAATAGCTGAAAACACTACCATTTTGGGTTTTCGCATACAAAAGGGATGCTAAGCCCCAAACCGATTCGGTGGAAATGCACTGATCCTATACCGTCAGCCTAACCGACACCACCAAGCACAAACCGCTGCAAAAACCGATGAGGCCCGCAACACAACACAAATAGTCTCACCCATGTCAGATATACAACAAAGACTGAAGCCTTGGATACCTAAACCCTCATCACGAAAATCCGTCAAGCTTGGGAGATGGGCTGCGAAGCCGCCACAGGCTTCGCTGAGCCTGGAGAGTGCACCACAGCTGGAGGGCCGTTGCATGTGCGATCTGGGGCAGATGAAAGAAGAACATATCCCAGAAAGGCTTGAGATAGCCTGAAGGTTTTGGGAGTGATCTAGCCAGCTTCTGACTACGCTTGCTAGTTGCTGCGTGCCTCTCCAGCTTTTGACCTGTGATGATTAGTGCTCACTGGCTGGCAATGAAGGTACGCGTCGGCTCGTCATCCATGACGACAGGGCTTGCTCTGGGTAACCAGAAAAATGGCCATAACACTACTTCCGATGGCGAAGGAACACAGTGGTGGCACTGCTTCTACTACTTAAAAATTCGCAACACTGCCGGAGCAAGAGCCATGATAGACAAGCGATATTTTTTAATCTCCGCGTTTGAAGATCGAGTGTGGAACGTGGGAGTTCATGAAGACAGGACCAAGAAGTCTGCATCTGAGGCGATCCAGTAACATTCTCACTGCAAGGAGCCGCTTGAAGGAACTCATCCTTGTGACAGACTCCGTTTGTGGAGTTTCGTTTCTTCATGCATGTTTCCTCCCTTCAGGGGGACTGGAGTCGTGTTCTCGCCACTGGGGGCAGCACACACTCCGCTGAACTGGCGTCCCTCCACCTGGCAGCGTGCTTTTATTTTTGCCGGTCCTACGGCGTGATTCAGGGCTTAGGGTTTCTTGGGCCTAGGGCGTAGGGTACTTGTCTTAGCAGGGCCCAAAGCCCTGAGATTTGGAGCCAGGCTGGTGCATCTTTCCGGACTTGGTCTTCGGCTCTGGGTTTCAGGCTCTTCAGGTCGTCACATGATTCGAGGCTTTCTTAACACCCGGCCGCCGGTCTCCCCTGCACGGGTTGAGGCTTTGAGTCAGAAATCGGAATCGTGGCTGGGCATCTCCGGAGCTGTGAAGCCCGAAACCCTCAGACCCGCAAACTGACTCACCCTATAGGCTGTGCATGTCTTACGGTTTTCATAGCTTTCATAGGGGACCCAGCCAGACCGGGCTGAACATTCGCTCGGTGTTTCTTGAGTGCGGTGGCTGCAGGGCCCAGTTTGGGGGTATAGGGCTGCTTGCGCATACTTGTCGGCCCAGTCATTCAGTATCTCGAAAGCTAGTCCAGGGGCCTTGATCAGTAGACTATGAAGGGATGCTGTGAATTGATCAGTAGACTATGAAGGGATGCTGTGAATTCGCAGGTCGTCTCCCGGAACTGATGCTGACTTTCCCGGCTGCCCGCTAGTTACAAACTATGGCATGGCTTATGCAAACTTGCACATGCGGACATTTACAGCGCCCGCCAGGGAATTCACGTGATAGAAATATTTGAAGGCCCCTGCCCCTGAATGTGCTAGCAACTCAGCCTCCATCACCATCGTCTGGCACCTTCTGCAGCGCCTGGTGCATCAGCCCACACTCTTATGACGGCACAGGAAGCAGAATGGAAAGCTTGACCCTGACAAATAGTATGAAACACCCTCCCCTGAGCAGCCAGAAAGCCACCGTACTGTGCAAGCCTCCAGGCACCGTGCGAGCGCTTCGTCTCGGATTTCGTCGACCTCACCGCTCCCAGGATCTCGACACCCTCCCCTGGCCACCATTTGCCCCTTAAAGCCCTCCAGAGCCCCCAACAAGGAACCCATCAAAGATCTGAAACAAAAACAAACACTTCTGGGGCGGCCCGGCACCCGGTAGCCTGGGAGAGTGGCTGTAATTCTCCTGAACAACGCGCTGCTTCAGTCGGGGGCAGTGTCAAGTTCCATGGAACTTCAAGGGAGTCATAGCCTCGGCTACAGATCAGGAAAAGCCTCAAGCCAAATCAGTGCTGCATATTATATGAGATTACATTACAGTACATTAGACAAGACTATACTATACTATACTATACTATACTATACTATACAATCTACTGTGCTATACTACTATATACTATACTCTACTCTACTCTACTATACTATCACTATACTAATTAGAATATATTGTACTATATTATAACATGCACTCGCCCTAAAAGACCGGGAGATTCCCCAAAAGTATCAAAGATGAGGGCTTCCAGCTTCGAAGTCTCTGGGATGGACAAGCGTGTAGGGTTCTTCGGGATGGGATTTAGGGCTTAATAGGGCTTAGGGCTTATAGGGTTTCGGGCTTAGGGCTTAGAGGGCTAAGGTTGGATGCACAGAGGTTCGCTCAACTCCCGTAATGGAATATCTCATAGCAACCCCTGAAAAGAACCTTATGAGGTCTAAGGTCTCCTCCTCTTTCTGGCCGAGGACCACCTTCAAGGCCCGCAGCGCGAACTCAAGGCCTCTGCTTGCGAGGTTTTTTTTTTTTGACACCTCTTT